GGCACATAACAACAACAACAACATTTACTAACAGAGGCAGGGTCACTAGTATCTTTATGATTAATCAAATTGGAGAACCAATTTAGGAAGCCCATCTTTATGATTTTGTCTCTCTAGAACCACTTTCAGTACCAAATGTGTTAGACTGGGTTCTCTACAGAAACAAAATTAGTAAAGCTTATATAGAGAGAGAAAGAGAAATTTTTCATAGGAAAATGGCTCACACACTTATAGAAGCTGGCAAGTCCAAAGTTCTTGGATCAAAGGTCAATCTGGAGGCTTTTCTTGACTCACACAGATGTAGGGACTAAGGAGCTCAAGGTTGGCAGTCAGTATACTGGCTGTTGACTCCAATGAATGATGAATCCAAGATCTCCAGGCCAAATGGTGGATTGTTTGCTCACGGACTGTTGTAGGCAGCACAACAGAATCTCAATCCACAAAAGAGGAGTGTCTCTTTTCCCAGGATGTCCATAAATATACTGGAAACAGGCCACACCCCTAGGGAAACTCCCTTTCAATGGGTTGGCTGCTTAAAACATATACATCTGATCCCATCATAGAAATAACCATATCACAATTGCTTAAGCCACACAGAATTGTGGTCCAGCCAAGTTGACACACAGCTCCAACTATCACAAGTGTCAGAATAGTGAACATCTTGAGTTCAACTTTTGTCTACACTCTGCTCCTCTGTTTTATCATATCAGTCAGCTGACGAGAGGTCTTCCCTAATAACTTGTTGCTTTCAAAAAAATTAAAAAAAAACCTGTTGTCAAGTCAAGTCTGACTCATAGAAACCCTGTAGGACAGAGTGAAGCTGTCTCAGAAGGTTTCTAAGTCTGTAAAACTTTAAGAAAACAGATGGTCTCATCTTTCTCCCACCAAGCAAAGCAGCTGGTGGGTTGGTATCACTGAGCTTTCAGTTAGCAATTGAGCACTTTAACCATGGCACACCAGGTCTCCTTTGTTTTCAAATATGACTCCTTTATATATTTTATGCTAGGTAAATTGCTCTCACATTTCCATAGGTCCTCTTGACTTTTAGCTTTGTATTTTCTAGATTCCTGAATGAAATACATTATGTCACTTGTGAGTGCAGTTTGTAGCTTCTTTGTGCTTTTATTCTCTAAATATTGAACCATTTCCTCAAAGGTTAAAGTGACACAAAAAAAGCAATACCTTCATACAGATTCTGAGGAAATAAAGTTTCAGCTTTGAGCTCTCGGTGATTTCATAGACGTCACTGGCCCAATCAGCTGAAATTGCTGCAGTTCATTGAAAAACACCTGTGTACTGAACAAGTTACAGGAATTTAAAGATCGATTTTTTTTTTTTTTTTTTTTTACCTCTAGCTTGCTTTCCTTTTTAGATAGATAAAGGCAGAAAGCTGCATTTGAAAAAAAAAAAAAAAAAAAAAAAACCTAATACATACTGTTCTTTTTGGTAGGAATATTAAAGTTAATCCAACTAGTGAATTGGTTTTGTGCATGGGATATAAAATATGTTTCTTTGCAAGTCTCACTGGGACTATTTTATAAAAATCTTCACAAGTTTGCCATTAAGGACAAAATATACCCATTAAAATGGAGTATTTCAGGATAACAACTACCTAAGGTTAATATATTGTTCTGTAGAGAGCCACCTTGAGATCCAAAGTATATATGATGGGCTGAGTCCAGCTTATGAAATGGAAGTGTGACAAAGATTAAAAAGGTAATATGAAAGTGAAGAGAACAACAACAGCAACAACAACAAAAAAACTCCTAACCCACTAATATAAGTATGTTGAGCTGTCCTTTGTCTTTGTGGTTGTTTTTTAATTTACATTTTTTATATTACTGCTCTCCAACATTCTTACAATTTATTTTTCTTAAATGAAATTAAATAGTCAAATTTAATTCCAAATTTGCAAAGGTTTTGTCTGTCTCTATTATTGATTCATTTTAGAACAAATTTTTGAAAACTTTCTCCTGACAACAGTATTATTGTCAGTCAATATACTTCATTCTATTATCTAAACCACCCATGTAATAGCTCTACATATTAATTACATTGGGAGCTCTGGTAGCATAGTGGCTAAGGCACTTGACTGCTAACCAGAAGGCTGGCGGTTCAAACCCACCAGCCACTCTTCGGAAGGAAGATGGGGCAATCTACTTCCATAGTGATACTGCCTTGGAAACCCAAGGAGGGGTTGCTATGAGTCGGGTCCGACTTGACAGCACATAACAACAACAACAACATTAATTATATGCTTATTCATTGGATGATTTGGATTAGAAAGGTAATATGCATTTAAAATTAAAAATAATATATAGCATTCTCCATAAAACTGTAATTGACTTTCTTATATGAACAACATCAAGAGACATTTTCCACTTTAGAAGCATTAGAAAAATCAGTATAATTGCAAATATATCTCTGGATCCAAAACACATTTTTTCAACAAAGTATGCAGATAACATTCTCCTTTTTATACTTTAAGAATTATAAATCAATTAGTCCATTGGACTAATGGACCATGAAAATCTCATCCTATATGACCTGACCATCAAACATGCATCATGCATGTGCCTGGCTACTCAGGGGTTACTTGGAAAGAGAGCCAGAGTGGAGATCCTGGATAGAGTGAGAAGAAAACATGTAATAAAATTAACAACAACAACAAAAAAGATCAGGATTAATGGTGTGAAACTTGTGAAACCTCCAAGATTATGGCCCCTAGACACACTCTGGGCCTGGAGTTAGACTTACTCCCTGTGGCTAATCTTCAGCCAGACAGCAGACAGGCCTAAGAGCTGAACCACTACAGTAGGGAGATGTACTCCTTAGAACAAACTTTCATGCAAGATAAGAAGGGCAAAATTTACACAAGGAAAAAGCTAGGGAGGCAGGAATAGATAGTCAGGAAGCACACAGGGAAAGAAGTGGGAAGAGAACTGTCACGTTGATTGGAATCAGTATCACAAAACAAAATGTGTATGAATTGTTGAATGTAAAATGAATCTACTTTGTAAAATTTCACCCAAATGACAATAAAAATTTTCTAAAATAATAATTGAAAATAATAAATGTCTTTTTACTTAAATCAGAATTTCCTAAGTAATAAAATATGTTTTATGAATTTTCTCCCAATGTAAACAGTCTACTTTCTTAACACTTTATACTGCTAAATCTTAAGATATATTTATTGAATGGCCATGTTAAAGTTTCACAACTAGTAATTTTGTAGGTAAAATTTTGTAATTTCAGTAAAATACACTTTGAATAAAATTCATTTTAAGTGCTTTCTATATGTGCATGTGTGTGTGTGTGTGTGTGTGTGTTTATCTATGTATTCTCTGCATTGCTTCAGACCAGTTCATTTCCATTTGACTTCCTGCTGAGAATTTTTGTTTTCACCCTCCCCAGATACACTGAATCAGAATCTACATGTTAACTAGGTCCCATTAGAAAATGAAAATTCTCAACAAGGGGTTTTACCTGGTTCATTACAATGTGTTGTATGTTGTCAGTTGATTCTAAGTCATAGTCACCCTGTGGGATAGAGTTGAACTACCTCATTGAGTTTCCTAGGCTGTAATATTTTCTGGAGCAGATCTCCAGGCCTATTCGCCAATGGAAACAATGGTGGATTCCAACATCTGGCTTTTTGATTAGCATCGAAGCACTTTACCCATTGTTTCACGAAGGCTCTCTCTCTCTCTCTCTCTCTCTGTCTTTCAAGGCATGCTCTCGCTCTCTCTCTCTCTCTCCACACACACACACACACACACACACATATATATACACACACACACACACATTATCTATGGAGTTTAAGGAACTTAGCACAGTGCCTAAGGCATTTTGACTGCTAACCACCAGCCACTCCTTGGAAGAAATGTTGGGCGATCTACTTACATGGTGATATCACCTCAGAAACCCAAGGATGGGTCACTATGAGTTGGATCCACATTGACGACAGTGAGTTTTTGTTTTGTTTTGTGCCACAGTGATTAAAGCATTTGGATCCTAACCCAAAGGTCAGCTCTAACCTATCAGCCTCTTGACAGGAGAAAGATGAAGCAGTCTGCTGGGTTTCCCAGGCTGTAAATCTTTACAGAAGTTTGTTGCCTCATCTAGCTCTCATAGAGCAGCTGTTGTGTTTGAATCATCAATCTTCTTCTGGTTAGCAGCCAAATGCTTTATCCACTAGCCACAAGAGCTCCTTTGGAAACCCTAAGTGTCAGTTCAGCTCTGTCTTATAGAATCACTATGAGTCTGAATCGCCTCAATGTCAGTGGGTTATAGATGTAGTTTATTATGTGTTGTTGTTGTTATGTGCCCTTGAGTCGGACCTGACTCATAGCAACCCCTCCTTGGGTTTCCGAGGCAGTATCACTACGGAAGTAGATTGCCCCATCTTCCTTCCGAGGAGTGGCTGGTGGGTTTGAACTGCCAGCCTTCTGGTTAGCAGTCAAGTGCCTTAGGCACTACACTACCAGAGCTCCCATAGTTTATTATATAAACCAATATATATAATAATGACCCCCTTTGGGTTTCTGAGGTGGTAAATCTTGGTGGAAATAGATTGCCCAGTCTTCCTTCTGCAGAATAGTTGGTGGGTTCGAACTGCCAACTTTCTGGTTAGCAGTCAAATGCTTAAGGCACTATGCCACCATTGCTCCTTAGTTTATTATACAAAAAACAAACCCATTGTCGTGGAGTCCAACCCACTTATAGCGACTCCTCTTTGGGTTTCTGAGGTGTTATCACTACGGAAGTAGATTGCCCAACCTTCCTTCGGAGGAGTGGTTGGTGGGTTTGAGCCTCTAGCCTTCTGGTTAGCAGTCACATGCCTTAGGCATTATGCTACCAAAGCTCAATTTATTATTCTTGATTGAATATATTCTCAGTTAACCACTCATTTTAGCAGGCTTATGTGTGAAAGCAATAGTTAAAAGTTTGAATCCATTCTGAATAATGTTAAATTTATTCATTTTTTTAATTTTTAGGAGTTCCTGAGAAGCCTCAAATCAGTGGATTTTCATCACCAGTTATGGAAGGAGACTTGATGCAACTGACTTGTAAAACATCTGGCAGTAAACCTGCAGCTGATATAAGATGGTTTAAAAATGACAAAGAGATTAAAGGTAAAGAATGGAAAATGTCCCAAATCAAAATTAATGCTGTGAAACTAGCATGAAGTTTCAGAAAAAGGCATTTTATATTTTATTTCAAGCCATAGCATCACTTTCTGATTAATTATAATTTGAATGATACTCACTTAGTCCTTAAAATAGATAACTTTTCAAAGTATATTAATATACCTCTCTATGCCTCGTTTTCCTCTTCTATATAAAATGGCTTTTAAAATAACAGGTACCTCAAAGGATAAGTAGAAAAATAAATAAGTTAAAGTATGAAAAACACAGACTCATACTTAACTCTGTGTAAGCATTAAAACCAATGAAACCAAACCCACAGCCATTAAGTCAATTCTGATTCATAGTAACACTATGGGACAGAATAGAACTCATCCATGGGGTCCTAAGGCTGTACATTTTTATGCATGCAGACTACCTCATTTTTCTTCAGCAGAATGGCTGGTAAGTTCAATCATGTTTTTGGTTAGGAGCTGAGTGCTTTAACCAGTGTATAACCAGGGATCCTATGTAAGCACTAAATACAGGATAAATAGTATTTCCAAACTGACATATTATTTAACATACATAGAGATACTGCATGGATCCCAATGGCTCAACTTTTTGGTGTTTGGAATTACTAAATTCTAAAAATAAAACTGGTCAATCATAAATGTAAATCTTACTATGTTTCATAGAAGGTAAAAAAAAAATTGCCTCAGTAAAAATATACAATTTAAATATTCAGCATAGCTCTGTTCTTACCTGATATACTTAAATTTAAAAACATATATGTACATGTTTACACATTTTGTTAGAGTGGCAAAAAGATTGTAGAGGATGGCTAGTAAGCCTAGCAAAATTTTCATTCCCTTGCATACAGATACTTTTGTCCTGATGTCACAAGTACAATAAAATCCAAGTATTAGATTTGATTACGGTGATTATTAGAAGAGGTTTCCTACATACATTGAGATATATATTGTTCTTTGTGTTACAGTCTATGAGGTAGGTTAATATAAAGTATTCTGGTTATTTTAACTTGTAATTCTAATACTTTATATGCGATGAACAATAATTCTTAGTGATAGGCATATAAAGCCAAAAGATAAGATTGCCTATTCAACAGAGAAATTATAGGTTCACTATCCATACATTTATTCGATCATTCTCTCTCTCTTTCTATTTATTTTTTTCTCTCTCCCTCTTTTCCTCTCTCACTTCCTTCCTTCCATCGTTCCTTCCTCCTTCCTTCTGTCCACTCATCCATATACACACTTGCAAACACACATAAACACACACTCCAAATATGGTCCTATCTATAATTTAACTTAATCACTACCTTTGTTTTAGAATTATAAATATATTTTATTGACTGAAATCAGAATAACTACAGGTCCTGAGACACACATTTGACATTTTGCGAATTTAAACTGTCAAGTTACTTTGCAACCTGATTCTTGCATTCTGCCTGGGCTCAATAGCAAGCATTCTCATTCAGGATATGTTTGTTTAGGCCTGTCTGGATTTAGCACTTTCCTAAAATGACACTAATTTCAGACTTGTGTTACAACAACAAGGATCTGATAGGCTCCTTTTAATGTTTGAACACTTCTGATGGAAAGGCATAGCCTACCGAATATGTTTAAAATTTCTTTTCTATGGCCTACTAGAATTCTTGAGGTGGCAAATTCTTGCGCATTGAGAATGTCCTTTTGTGTGAGTTCTTGGTTTTTGTGAGATTGCCCCTCTTACCTTAAATGTTCTTCTTCAATGAACTGTTTTGTTATCTCAGTGCTCCCATTCTTTAATACTGGCATAAATAGTTAGGTTGTATATGAATAATTTTGTGAATAAGAATCATAACGAAGCTGGTTCCTAGGAGGTAAAAGTAAAGTATATCTCTGCTTTCAAACTATCCTTTGGGTCTTATACCAGCATACCTTTCTCTGTGGCACTGTCTCTCTCTGCTAAATGAAGTAATTTGATGCACTGTTACTCATGGTCATGTAGTTTATTAGGGTAAAGGATATAATTCAGAAGTAACAGGCTATAAATGCCCAGGGAAAACAGGACACAATTCAGAAGTAACTCAAGAGCAACATGAAGAGATACTCAGTTGAAGTTTGGAAAGGTCCCCAAAAGTGAAAAGCATGTTCATTCTCAGGAAATTCTCTTTCCTGGATTCTCTTCCTCAGGAAGCATCTTTGAGCTTCAGTGAGTGTTTAACTTTTATTGGCTAGCACACACATTTATTATTGGTTACCACATGGGCTCCCAGATTGGATCATACTCACTGAAAAAATTGTAAGATATGGCCAATGTAGCCCAAATAGTCTAAGGATTATTTCACAGATTCTAGGGATAAAGGTCAAACTTCTTGAGATAAAGTAACTCTTAAACCTACAGTTAAGTAGGGAGATAATTCTACTTAGTTTATTTGTAGTTTCATGAAAAACCCAAGATGTTCTTAAATTTTTATAAAAGAGTTTAATTTTTGATATATTCTACTTCTGCTCTGAATGCCAAACAGAATATGGGTAGGATTTTGTTTGTAAAAGTATAAAAAGTTTTATCTTGTAAATGATCATACTTTAGATCACTTTCATCAAGCCTAAAATATCAAAACAAAAACATGTACAGAATCATAGTTCTGGACTGTGTTCAGAGTTAGTGAGGCCTCTTTTTCCCAGTGCATGACCAATTAAACATTTATTATTGCAACACTTGGATTCATCCATAGATTTTTGTTGATAACTTCTTTTTCTGTTTACAAATCCTGTCTTCCCTAACAGATTGTAAACTTCCTTAGTGTATAAACTTTACTTTTACAAGTGCATATGAAAATATGATGAGCTTAGTGCTCTACACACAGTACACATTCATTACGGTTACTATCCTCTGGATATGCTTATTGAAATTTCATTCTAAAACTCTCAGCAAACATTCCTCACTGAAAGGATGCTCAGTCTTTATTTTGCACTAGCTTGACTTCATATTACAATTTGAACTGTTTTCACTACAGTATCACTTGACACTCTTTAAAAAGACAATTTTTAAAGTAAAAGTAAACAATAGTCTTATCCAATCTAATTCAATTCAATAAGAAATCATTGACTACCTCCTAAGTTATCTGTATTTTATAGTGCATGAGTGATGATCCAGATGAAGAAAAACAAGATCTGTGAGCTGAAGGCATTTAAGATGTCTTCAGAGATTTGAGACACTATTGACAGTATTTTCCTATAAAGAAGAATATAGAATATTATGTAATGTCCAAAACAGTTGTTACAAGCAAAGGAAAAGTTTACTTTTGGTATGTTTAAACGAAATATTTACCAGCTCGGTCAGTAAACGCACACTGTTAATATCCAGACTCTATATATTGGGTGTGTAGACCTGCATAATGACTTATTTTTCCAGATGAGATGTATTTCTATAACAATCATTGCCTTCACTCTGTCATTATCTAAAATATGAATATAATTTCCATGTTCCTGGATGAAAGTTGCTTGAAAATACTAGTTGATCACATTTTCTTTGCCAGGGTAATTGCACATTATGTTACAGAGCAGTGGTTCACAAACTTTGGCCTGCATGTTCATCACTGATGGAGTTCATTAAACCTCAGTTTATAAGGCCCAGATAGATTTTCTGATGGAGCAGGTATGATATGGAGCCTGAAAATTTGTACATTTTTAACAAGTTCCCAGATCAGGAGTACTGGTAGTGCAGTGGTTTGAGGATTCGGCTGCAAACCAAAAGGTCAGTGCTTCAAATCCACCAGCCGTACCTCAAGATAAAGATGAGGCAGTCTAATTTCATAAAGATTTACAGCCTTGGAAACCCTATGGGGCAATTCTACCCTGTCCTATAGGGTCACTATGAGTTGCAATCAACTCAATAGCAGTGGGTTTGGATTTATTTTTGGGTGATAGTTATGTCTTTGTTTGGGGATCACACTGGTCTAGAGAATGGAAAATTGAGAGATACCAGTTGTTGTTATGTGCCGTCGAGTCAGACCTGACTCATAGTGACCCCTCCTTTGGTTTCTGGGGTATCACTACGGAAGTAGATTGCCCAGCCTTCTTTCTGAGGAGTGGCTGGTGGGTTTGAACCACCAGCCTTTGAATAGCAGTCAAGTGCTTTAGGCACTACACTACCAGAGCTCCTAGAGATATCAGTAATTAGAGAAATTTGTCTCTGTCTCTTAGCCTTAGTTTCTCATCTGCAAAATAAGGATTATAATTTTTACCTTAAAATGCTGTTGCAATAATATTTTATGAGCAAATAGGTATAAAGAATTTTTACATAGAAGGAATCACTCAATATATTTTGTTGTTGTTGTTAGGTGGCATCTTATTGGTTCTGACTCATAGTGGCCTTAGATACAAAGGAACAAATCATCACCCAGCCCTGTGCTGTCCTCACAATCCTTGCTATGCTTGAGTCCATCATGGAAGCCACTGTATCAATCCAACTCTTTGAGGGTCTTCTCATTCTTCGTTTACCCTCTACTTTACCAAGCATGATATCCTTCTCTAGGGAATGTTACCTTTTGACAACATGAAGTAGGTAAGATGAAGTCTGTCCATTCTCTCTTCTAAGGAGCATTCTGACTCCACTTCTCCAAGGACCGATTTGTTAATTCTTCTGGCAGTCCATGGTATTTTTGATATTCTTTGGCAATACCACAGTTCAAAGACATCAACTCTTCTTCAGTCTTCTTTATTCATCTTTTACATGCATATAACGTGATTTAAAATACCATGGCGTGAGTCAATTGTACCTTAGTCTTCAAAGTGACATCTTTGCTTCTTAAGTCTTTAAAGAAGTCTTTTGCAGTATGTTTACCCAGTGCAATACAACATCCCATGGGTGTTGACTGTGCATACAAATAAAATGAAGTCTGAAACAACTTCAATCTGTTCTCTGTTTATCATTATGTTTCTTATTGGTCCAGTTATAAGGATTTTTTTTCCCCATTATGTTGAGGTATAATCCATACT